AATATGGGATGCATTAAATATATGTGAAAGTAGGGAATGGGGAGAAGGAAACTGTAGTCTTAGCTCTGCTCAGATACCAAACATTCTGGGATGATTCTGAATTATGTTTACTTCAGTTCCATCAGTCTGAAAGCATTTTATTAATTATTGAAGTTATTTGACTATTAATTTATTTCTCAGTCCCTTTTTTATGTCAAAATATAAAATGAGGACTATAATGCAGGTATTTCTCCAAATCATTAGATAATAATTTAAATCTTATTTCTACCTCCTAAGAATTCAGATTAACCTGATGTAAATTGCTTTTTTTTCTTAAGTCTCTATTGACTACATGCACACACACACACACACACACACACACACTTATAAACAAGAATCAAGAAATTCACCAGCCAAGTATAAGCTAAGCCAAGTTATATAATTATAATTCTTACATAAGAATTAGAGATTAAATGAATGTTTGGGCACAAAATACAATAGAAAGTTTTCACAAGTACTTTTCCAATTTTATATATAAACCTGTTAGAGAGAAGTAGAAATTGTACACCATGCTCCTTAATTTAAAATACCACACTGAATTTATAGCTTAGTTGAAAAAATACTAATTTTATCTACTCTTTTATTTGTTCTCAAATACATTAAAAGCTTTTTATCTTTTTTCCTTGATTAACAAAATAATTCATGTTCATTAGAAAATATGGAAGTTGGTAGTTATACAAGCAAGGAAAAAATAATGCCCACAATCCCATTACTCAGTGGTAGTAACTGCTTCAATTTTGACATATTCCCTTCAGTCATGTTCATAGTTACACTATTTTAGTACTTTATCACATTCTATATAATTTGAAATCTTTTTTGATTAATACAGCAATAGATGAATTATATCAGGTCACTAAAAAAAATCATTATAAATATCTTTTTTAATAACTACATGGCGACTCTATGGATAGTCCATTGCTTACTTGACTATTCCCCTAATACTGGATAATTAGGTTAGCCACATTTTTTTAATCTTAAAAATAATGTTAGGATAGGTGCCTAAAATTATCCCCATTATTTCCTTAAGCTATATTTCTGGACTTAGAAGTATTTAGATAAAAGTATCTGTGAATCTTACAGCTTTGATCCATAACACCACATTATATTTTTACACCAAACAATGCTTGTACTGTATTACAGTTGGCAGTACTTAGATTATGGAAGTAGTAAAACTTGAATTTACTTTTTTTGGTCAGCAGCTAGTTAGCTCCTTTTCCCCTTACAGTCCAGGCAGCGATTCCTTCATAATCTATTACTAGAGGCCCAGTGCACGGAAATTCGTGCACTTGGGGTATCCCTCAGCCCAGCCTGCATCCTCACGCAGCCCGGGACCCCTTGAGGGATGTCTATCTGCTGGCTTAGGCCCGCTCTCAGGAGATCGGGCCTAAGCTGGCAGTCAGACATCCCTCTGGCAACCCAGAAGCCCTTAGCACTGCCACAGAGGCAGGAGAGGCTCCTGCCACTGCTGCTGTGCTGGCCAACCATGAGCCGGCTTCTGGCTGAGCAGCGCTCCCCCTGTGGAAGCACACTGACCACCAAGGGGCAGCTCCTGCATTGAGCGTCTGCCCCCTGGTGGTCAGTGCACATCATAGCAACTAGTTGTTCCTGGTCATTCCACCTTTAGGGTCAATTTGCATATTACCCTTTTATTATATAGGATAGGATAAACATAGTAGCCTTTTATGCATATTTTTCTCTCTAAAAATCGTTTAATTTTCTGAGTCATGAAGAGGAGTATCTCCTTCTGTCTGGAGAAAGAGTTCAGAAAAGAAAATTTGATGTTAGTTAGCCCTTTGTTGGTGATGTAAAAATAAATTTTTATGAGGTAGAAGAAGAAAAAAATATTTTTCCTTGGCAACCTCTGCAACTTCACAATGGAAGAATTGCTCTGCTGACATGCTTGTGAACAAGAGACAAAAAGCAACACGTTTGTACAGAAAGTTTCATGCTCATTCATTATTGGAGATGCAAACTCTCCCTCCCATTTTTCGCTGTGTTTCTTTGTTTTGTTTTGTTTTTTCCACTCTCAGTATCCTTCATCAAGTGGATTACATATAGAGATAAAGACTGAGGAACTTAGGCACCCTTTTGGTTTGTTTCCAGGTAGGGACCTTTAAGTTAAGAAGGGCATTAATGTTAGTGTCCCTTCTCAGTGAAAGGATCACTCTTTTGTTTCACTGAGCACCCAAACCATACTGACAAAATCGGTCTTTATTCAAGGATAAAACCTTGCTGGTGTACTTTAGCAATTCATCCTCTCCTCCACACTTCAGCCTTTTTATGTTTATTTATCACTGTATCTGCCCATGCTGGGGTATGCAGCTTTGCAGGAATAACATTAAAAGTTTTTTTGGTTGTTTTCTTTTTAGAATAAATGTGACAGTTCCTTCATCTCCCTGATTTGGAACTGAGGAGAGCAAAATGTCAAAAATAATGAGGCCAAATGTATCCAAACACTGAACACCAGTCAGAAAGAGAGTTCAGAGATTTTACCTTTACAGTCGTTGTTAGAGTCAATGAGAGAAAGCTCCGTGGTGGCTGTGAAATCCAAAGCAGCTGTTAGGGGATTAGAAAAAAGTCCCAGGCAGAGATAGCGCTCCCTTGTTCGTGTATTTATTCACAGTGTTGTGTGGAATGCTACGTGCTGTGATGCAAAGAAAAATTAGGCTTAGTCCCAGTTGAGGAAATACTGTGTAGAGACAGATAATAAAGTGACTCATAATGTTTCAGGATTTATAAATAAGAATTATTATTTTTCAACAAATAGTAATCCTCTGTTATATCCCAGATTGTCTTATAGGTGCTGAGAATAGTAGAGTGAATGAAATATATGAAATGCCTCTCTTCAGTTAGGGATGATGGAGGTGGAATGAATGGATGCAGGCAGTAAATAAACAGTAAATATATATTATGTGCAATGATAATAAGAGCCATGGAGAAAAATTAAGCAAGTAAAAGGGATACTGATTGCCAAAGTTCATACTAATAAGGCTGTATTTGAGCAGAGATCTAAAGGAAGTAAGGAATAAAACCAGATGGATGCCTGGGGAAAATGTTTAATAGTCACAAGCAATATGTATTGAGCATCCGCTACATGTCAGATACTCTTCTAAATAGTTTATATTGCTTAGTGTATTTACTCAATACTTATGAAATATATGAAGTAGGTATAATTATTATATCCTTTTCATGTATCTTCCCAAAGTTTACATTTTAATTCTGAAGATCTACTTCAGGCACTGAGAAAATGTATTCACTCTATATTAGAGTAAAATTACACCTCTAATTCAGAATAGAATCATTTGAACATGTGGTAGACTTTTTAAAGACATCCTATTTTAATAGTTTTAAATATCCTATCTCAAGACTACTAAAATATTACTTGGGTGGACATCTACAAGAAATTTGCCTTCATAAATGTATTAGAATGGTTTACATTACTGTTATTGGTTAAGATGGTTCTTCAAGGATGGTGGTTAGAGGATAAGTCTGAATTATCCCAAATTCTGAATTAAAATTTTTAATGAAATTTAATCATGATATTTATATTCTAAAGGAAAAGTTCAGTGACCAAATATGAAAGCAGTTTGCAAAACTTCTTAGCGCTCACTCATTACAAAGAAAATAAGAGTCTTCTGTTTTCAACTCTTTCACGGATTGAGAAGGGACATTTTGATACATCAGTGTGTATTTTATATGGCATGCCAATGACATTTAACATGCAGGGTACTCCAGAGTGGTTTCTGTCCCACTAGTGGATTCAAAGAAGCTTCATTGACTATTCTTTTGAATGTTATCATTTTAAAGCTCTCTTTACTGTTAGAGAGGAACTCTTGGTCAGAGGAGCAGGTCTGTCTCCTGCTGATAGGATACTACCTCCTAATAGAATATTGTGATTTCAGTGACTATGTATCAATTTATTTCTTTTTCAGGTACCCCAGTTACGAATTTATTAGTGATAACTCTATCTCTTGGTCAGCTGGACTGCACAATCGATACACGGAAAATTCACTTAGGGGTGTGATTCTGGATATACACTTTCTCTCCCAGGCAGACTTCCTAGTGTGTACTTTTTCATCCCAGGTAAGTGATAGTAGGGTATTTTTAAGAGGCCAGTACTTTTTGGTCATATTAGGGTTAGGAACTTCTTGTTTTCTTGTTTGTTTATTAATCCTCAACTGAGGACATTTTTCCATGGATTTTCAGAGAGAGTGAGAGGGAGGGGAGAGAGAGAAACATGGATGTGAGGGAGACATATCGATTGGTTGCCTCCCATACATGCTCCAACCAGGGCCAGGGATCGAGCCTGCAACTGAGATACGTGCCCTTGACCAGAATCGAACCTGGGACCCTTCAGTCCGCAGGCTGATACTCTATCCACTGAATGAAACTGGCTAGGGCTTTTTTAAATGATAGTTATCGTGATTATGGTGAAATTTTCCTAATATTTGCGAATTACCATTTTTGTGAAAGCATGAGAAGATTCCCCCAAAACATAGCTATTTAGGTGCTCTGAATATTTAGTTGTTTGCAAGCAATGGTTGAATACATCTCTACTGAAGCCAGCTACTAGAGTTGTTTAAAGTGCTCGGCTTGTTCACAGCATTAAATAGAAACAGCAGATAATTAAGCTTGCTTAATACTTTCTGATTTTGCACACAGTCAATATTTAACCAGAACCCATCCATTTCTACTATCGATACACTGATACTAAGAGGCTTAAATGCCCAGCATTTTGTCTCAATTGCTTTATAGAACATAAGAAAGAGTAAATGTAATTCCTCTTCAAATCTTACTACATTTCTACCAAGCAGGAGACTGTACATTAAATTTAAGCAATACCATATTACAATCATGTTTTGAGAGTAATTGTAGATAATTATGTGTTATGGGTTAGGTGTATCTGTTTTTATGAGTGGTACAAGCAGCCTCATATTTCCCAGTGGAATATCACCATAGCAATATTTATTGTGGATTTCATTCTGCCCTTTCATTTATGTGCATATTACTGAGTAGTTTATTCAAAATCTGCTGAACAACCATTTGTGCTCAGATTTATACTAGGCATAGAGGGGATTCCAGAGGAAATGAAGATAAAATACTCACATGAAATAACTACCAAGAAATGTAAATTATGTAAGAATACTATATGCCTAAAAGCTTAGATGAAGTTGAGAAGAGAAAATGTGAAGAGGAAATCTACATCATTTTCATGAGAAATATAAATAAATGGGCAGTTTTCTAATGTGTGACAATGCACATTGTCACAGTGGGATGGCGATATGATTTTTGGAAAGATACCTACCACAGCCAAGGCTATACGAGCTTCAATATGGAATAGGAATACAACTTACTACCCAAAAAGACAGCTACCCAGTACAGGAGCCACACAGGCAGCAATCCTAGTCAGGAGGAAAACTTCCTTGGCCTTCAGGTTCCCATGAAGCATCTACTGCTGATGTTTCTCCCTAATTAGGGTCACGATCCTGACTTTGATAAGCTCCCTTTTCTATTTTTGGTCTCTCTCAACTGTTTTGACAGTCTGACTATGTGTCTGCCTGGTCAACAGGTGCAAATAACTAGTAACAACCTCCACACATTTTTGAATGGGTGTTCTTACAATGTGTCAGTCATTCTATGTACCACCTCCTCTGTGGACCTAGACTGTGGGCTTACCTAAGGTTTGTTCCTCTAGTCAAGGGTTTCTCCACCAGGGCACCCCTGGCATTTGGGGCCAGAAAAGTTGTCGTGAGGCACTGTCCTGTGCATTTTAGGATACTTTACAGCATCCCTGGCCAGTAGCACCTCCACCTCAATTGTGACAATCAAAAGTGTCTGCAGACATTACCCAATGTCCTGTGGGGGCAAAATCACCCTTGTTGAGAACCACCGCTCTAGATAAAGCTCTAAAATCCAATGAATATAGCCCAGCCCAGCCTGTGTGGTTCAGTGGTTGAGTGTCGACCTATGAACCAGGAGGTCACTGTTTAATTCCCAGTCAGGGCACATGCTGGGTTGCGGGCTTAATGCCCAGTAGGGGGCATGCAGGAGGCAGCCAATCAATGATTCACATCATTGATGCTTCTATCTCTCCCTTCCTCTCTGAAATCAATAGAATTATATTTTAAAAATAAATAAAAATAAAATGCAGTAAATATATACATGTTTGAATATTACCAACTTTACGTGTCAGTAGGCCCTGAGATTCAAGGGAGGTGCTTGATGTTTTGCTTTCCTTCTTCCAGCATTAAAATCACCATGGGACAGAATTACTTACTTTCCCCCTTTGCCACTTCCCTTTGTGACTCTGAAAAGCATTCTTGTGACACTCTTCATTGTCTGATTCCAAGTCCACACGTAGCATAACTGGCCTCACTACACTCTGAGTCCGGTTTTGGAAAGTGCAGTGGGAACAAAACAGATATTACTTTGCACACTAGAGATCCTCTTGGCCTTGTCTATTTTGACAAAATAAAATAAAATAAAATAAAAGGCTGTCTCAGCCGCTCTGAGAAAGCTTTGGAGACTCATGCAAACTCAGCTAGTTGTTCCTCAGGGATAAAATTCAAACTAATGGACCTTTCTTTCCTTTTTAATTGTTGTTTTTAATACAGTCATATCTGTGTTTTATTCTTTATCAGGATTTTTGTTCTTACCCATTACCTTGTGCTTATTGGTGTTCTAAAAATGTTATAATGCCATGTCAAAACAGAATGAAATAAAAGATACAAAATGTGGCCAGCCACTGCTTTGCAAACCAAAGGGTTTGCCTCATCAATCATGTTACCTGTCAGGTATCAAACCTGAGTACTGATCAGATGAAAGCCTTCATTTACCTGCCACATGATTTGGACTTGTAAAACCCAGAGAGGAAGCGTAGGGTGATTAAATGCAAACATCAACATTATAGTAATCCTTCTAGCTTTTGCAGTAAATTGCCCCACTGTTAATATAGAGAAAAAATTTTTAATTACTCAGAATGTTATATATGAAGCTTAAGGATTAAATTACCCCTTGTGGACTTGCATCTCCACTGCTGGCTGGTATTATGCACGGAGCAGTATTCATTCAACAGATAGTTATTGAGTGCCTATGTGGCAGGCACTGCTCTAGGACTTATCCTAAGGCAGTTTAGTGTGTGGTTGAGAGCCAGAGAGAGTGCTAATTGTGGCTCTGCCAATTACTAGCTCCTTTTTTCTTTGCTTTGCCTTTTTTTTAACTTTTTGGAAATTTACTTAATCTTTCTGTGGCTTAGTTTCTTCATCTATAAAATGTGAATAATAGTAGCCACCTTATATGGTTCTTGTGTGTTTTTGAGTTGAAAAAGATGCAAGCAAGCACACTATTAAAATAGTACCTGGACCATTATCAGTGCTCATTAACCTCAACTGCTATGATTATCACCAATATGAGAAGGATAAAGGGTCTTGCTCCAACTCAATGTCTGAAATTTCTACCATTCATTATTACTTTGGCTTAAGGAAATACGTCTTCCAGCAGACTAACATATCAACAATTATTGATATAGAACATAAACTGATAATTAGGATTATTTCCTCAAAAGAAGGCTTCTAGGGTATGGGACTGAGGGTAATGTTTTTATGAGTGAGATATTTAATAGTGGAGAGAAGGAAGTACATTAGAGTTCATTGCCACAGTTGGCCGTATGGTCATCCCAAGGTCAAGCAATACGAGGTCATGCATTTCTGGCTAAAGATGATTGAAGAGTACCTGGACATGCCCTGAAAAGAAGACTCTCAGGTTTGCCCAAGGCCAGCCTGGCCTTATGTTTTATCTCTCTGGTGTTACAGTCCAAACATGGAGAACATTGTCTATAAGAGAAAATATGCTTAGCAGTTAACTAGCATACACAGACAGCCTGTGTTCAAAACCAGAATCTACCACTTAATAATAGTGTAACCTTGGGCAAATTTCTTAATTGACCTTTGACATCTGTAAAATAAACATGATAGAATTGTATAGGGCTATTGAGGGGATTAAATTAGATAATACCTAAAAACACTATCTGACAGCAAAAACTCAGTAAATATTAGCCTCTATTATTGTTATTGTACTTTGCTATTATTAGAGCTGCTTTGTTTTAATTTTTTAGTTTCTTCCTTTCCAGAGTCTTCACTTGATTTTGCTTGTCCTCTGTGGGCCTTTGGCTGAATTTCAAGTTCAAGTTCTAAATCTTTTTAGCCTTATTTGTTATAGTCTCAGTATTCTACCAGTGTTTTCACTTGTACCATGACATTCCCAATATAAAATTAGTGTGTTGGTGAAGTAGCAGGTTCAAATGGAAAGTCATTGTCTTGGTTCTGTGTCTAGTTCTATGTCTATTGCTATGGGGACAATAAAACTTCATTAACTGAGATAACTACAACTGGAGATTTAAGAAAATTTTACGTGAGTTGAGTTCTCTGTTCACAATGTATATTGGAAGAATTTTCTAAGCAAAATGATAGCATTCTCTCATTTCTTCACTATTCTTAGAAGAGTTTCTGCAACCTATTTATGCTATAATAAATGTATTTATTAATTGCTTAAAATGTTATACTTCCATGAAGATAGTTATAGTTTAGCTTAATTACCACCATTAAGCTCAAGGAATGATGCTCAGGTTGTGGAATTTCAGCTGACATCCATCCAGTGGGCATAATAGGTATTCTTTGGACAGGAATATTTTAAGTAGCCTTAAATGCATCAGGTAGATGCATCTTCCCTAAAGACAAGTCCATCTTATTTCAGTCCTAGAATGCTACTATCTACACAGCACACTTAAAACTATTTAGAATCGAAATGGTAGATGCGTTTCTCTCACTTGCCAGTGCTAATTGATTGTCAGTAATTACATGAATTTCTATTGAAAAGAGTCCGGAGGCCAAGTTCAAATTAGCAGAAAAGAGTATGTGATTGATTAATACTGAATGAAGGAAAGGGAGCAGCATCATTTTTGTAAAGTATTTATAATCCTAATCCTAACCTTAAAGTCTTCAAGGGCATAAACTATGTCTTACTCATTTTATACCACCAGTGCCCAACATGGAGTACTATGTGGTTCTTAATGAATGTTTATTAAAATTAACTGATTCATATTCTTAAAGTACTTTGCATTATATATTTTTTCTCCCAGAGACCTTAATTGTAATCTTTTATGTTAAAAAACACAGATGCAAGCACAGAATGAAGAATGACTTATGCTATATGCTATACCATCACTTGAAAGCAAATGGACTGAAAACTTGTGACTAGAATCCACTAGTTCTCATTCTCTCAGTTCTAGTCCTAGTCTAGTTCTGATCTCTTTGGCTAAGGGCTTTTAGATTGTTCTGATGGGGATCTTACATATACTAACTATTTTTTAAAAATTATTTCCCAAGGTCTGTCGAGTCGCTTATGAAATCATGCAAACACTGCATCCTGATGCCTCTGCAAACTTCCATTCTTTGGATGACATCTACTATTTTGGGGGCCAAAATGCCCACAACCAGATTGCCATTTATCCTCACCAGCCTCGAACTGCAGATGAAATTCCCATGGAACCTGGAGATATCATTGGTGTGGCTGGAAATCATTGGGATGGCTATTCTAAAGGTGTCAACAGGAAACTGGGAAGGACGGGCTTGTATCCCTCCTACAAAGTCCGAGAGAAGATAGAGACAGTCAAGTACCCCACATATCCTGAAGCCGAGAAATAAAGCTTCAGATGGAGGAGAAGGACAACTAAACTCAGTTCAAACTATTTGAGCCAAACAGTAGATGAAGAAGGCCCTGTCCTAACAACACATTGTTGATTGAGTAGACACCCCCAGCATCAGGAGCAGCTGAGAACTGACAGATGTTTTGTTGGTGAAATTTCTCTTTAACAAGGGCTACAATGCCCAAAACCCCTGCACAGTTGAATAATGTACTCACATATAACCTGCAAGCAGGTGGTTTTCGACTTTGCCTCTTCTTTCAAGATTATGTCTCCATGAGAAAAACACTGCCACATTGTAATTTAAGTGACACAGACATTTGTGTGAGACTTCAAACATGGTGCCTATCTCTGAGAGACCTGATGAGAAGACTTGAATAGCTCCCCGCTGTGGGGAGGTGGATTCTTAGCCAGTGGTGGTGATGCAACCACTGAATTCACTCCAGTCAGCAGATTCAGAATGAGAATGGATGTTCTTGTCTGGAATTTTTTTTAAGTAATTACATCAGTTCATCCACCTCATCTTTAATAAGTGAAGGAGATACACTGAAATAAAATATTCTCATTCCATTAGGAACTTTTGTAAAATGATGCCATGAACAGATTCTTTAGTACTCAATGTTTCTGGCCATTCTCTTTGATAACAAAAAAATAAATTTTAAAAAGAAATTTTGTAAAGTTTCTAGAATTTTACATCATTGGATGATGTGGTGGTCAGCTTTATAATGGGAAATCTATGATAAAAGGAGGAGTTTTATAGTTCTGCTGGGTTTGTTTTTTGTTTTTTGGGGGATCTTTTTTGTTTTCTGTTGTTGATTGGGTGACTAATCTGGTCTTAGTTCAAAGAGTCATCGAGCCATTTTCACACTGAAACCAGTTTAATTGGTGCACATTACAAGGCTGCTAAGAACACTCTTTGGGAGCTTCCATTCTCTTAGTTTGGGCATTGTTTTTGTTTAATTCAGTGGTTCTCAACCTTCTGGCCCTTTAAATACAGTTCCTCATGTTGTGACCCAACCATAAAATTATTTTCGTTGCTAGTTCATAACTGTAATGTTGCTACTGTTATGAATCATAATGTAAATATCTGATATGCAGGATGGTCTTAGGTGACCCCTGTGAAAGGGTCTTTCGACTACCAAAGGGGTCGCGACCCACAGGTTGAGAATCGCTGGTTTAATTAAATAATCATACTGCTTGCCCTTAGAGGAACTGTCACCTCCATTTCCAAAACTAATAACTTCAGGTTTGTTGGTAATCTTTCTTACTGTAGCTCTTGTCACTTTTGTGAGTTGTGTCCTTTCTCTCCCCCACCACACACA